TTTTTTTTAAACAAACAGCCCAAGTTAATGCTAGGGGTGCTGGTAGGAGCAGACACCACTAGCATGCTCGGGGAGACTCCATCTATTGGTGGGGAGCAGCACCTGCTGGAAAGCGGGTCCAGCGTCCCTTAACATTTGAACTGTTCGATGTGATGACAAATATGATTGCTCAGCTCATACCTGCCTCTTCGGCCAGCTATCATCTGAGCTGCATCTGCTGGAAACCGGGTCCAGCGTCCCATTTACCAGAGCCTAGGCCATAGTTGGTACCTCTTCACCCTCCTGCCGAAGGGCGCCGGATATTTTCCATTTACCCTAGCACCGTTATCTATTCCTAAGATCACTTGCTCGCTCTAAACCATACCAACTCAAGGGAACCAAGCACAAGGATGATAATGGGACAGGGTCAGGGAAGTCAGCAAATGGACGCAGCGGAATGGAGGGATCCACGGTGGTCCAATCATGAAAGGATAGATGATAATTCCTTTTGGACTCTGGCTGCCCTCCCTTTTTTATCACTCTTTTCTCTCCCTTCCCCTTGATCACTCCCACCTTCCCTTCCTTGGTGTCTCCCAGCCAGTTTTTGCTGAATTTTTTACTGTAAATTTCTGATTGATTCGATAGCTGTTGAATCTTTTCTTTAACTTTATCCCATTGAGCCGAAATCTCAGTTTGGATCTGTTGTTTTATTGAATCAGCGAATTCAGGGCCCTCAAGCCTCACCCCTTCCATTTCATTGGTGCAACGTCTGTGCCAAAGGGCCCACATAATGGCTCTTCTTTCAACCTTATATAGATTTAGGGAGAACTCATCCTGAAGAGGAGGATCCCATGTTTCACATAGGAGAGCTTTCCAATCCCATGGCCAAGGATATGAAGATGTGAGTTGACTCCAGATTCTGTCCCACCACCTCCATAACCATACCGCACTTGGACATTGAAGGAAGATGTGTTCTATGGTTTTTGGGATTGCTCTTGATGGGAAAGCAGATGTACAAAACTTGCACCAGGGTAATGCTATACGTCTCTGTTCAAGAGTGGTTCTATCTATAATCCAGTCATTTGTAGGGAGACAACGGTGATTTATCTGCCATTGTAGAGAAGCTACCTTAGCAGGTTTGATTTGAATGGTCTTAAACCATTTGATAGAGCGTAAATTGCTGATGTTCAACTGTCTCATCCATCTCGCTTCCACTTTATCTTTTATATTCAGGGACGGTCTCAGCATTCTATAGGTGGATTTGACTGTTAGGGTATGGAGTGAACGAGTCCAGGTTCGTTTTCCTCCTTTTGAAGTCCATTTCCATTGCGCTGGGTCCAAGGCCAAATTGTCTATTGACTGAGTTGGCCTGAAAGCCAGCCATTGACTTTTGTTTTTCAATACTCTCATTCTGAACACCTGATCCATTTGGTACCATTTGGTTTCTTGGGGGTGCCTTGTATGGATAATATTTCGACTATCTATAGAGAAAATGGAGACTAGAACTGTTGTGTCATCACCCAATATTACCACATTCCCAATCTGTTGTTTATTATCCATGAGGCCTACCTAGTCCCCTTCTTGGAGGTTTGAACATTTTTTTAGTATTCTTACCCAATCTAAAGGAATTAGCTCAATTATGATATCCAATGCTTCCAGTGAATGTCTGCAGTAACGAAGTTTGGGATGTAAATGGGATAAAGTGTATCAATCTTTTGTTTCTTTATTCCATATATCCATTATCCTTAGAATCTCATTTTTAACCCATCCACGCCAAGGAGACTCCATACAATGTAACATACATCCGTGTGAGTCTGTAATTAGTCTATTATTGAAAAGTGGTTGCTGACAGACTTTCTCCCATCTCCTCGAAGGACACTTGTTTGGTAGTGGAAGTCTGCGCCAAATCTTAGGAGGTTAGGCCATAATGGGTCGTTTTTTATATCTGCCTTTGCTGCTTGTCTGTCTGTTTCTACCTCCTGGTTTGTTGCATGAGAGACACTTCTAGGGACGGATCAGCACCGGTTCTCTAACCATATCATTGCGTCAATGCTTTCTGGTACTTCTGGTGCCAGTCTTGCTATTTGCTCCCATGCTAGAGCCTGCCAAGGGATCTGTGGATTGAAAAGCAGTCTTTTTATCAATTGAATGGATAAGGCATGAGCCTGTGTGTGAGGATCCATGATACCTAGTCCACCTTCTGTTTTGGGTTGAATTAGTGTTTGTCAGGCTACTCTGTTGATTACGTTTTTGCTTTCATGATTCCCTCTCCATAAATATATTGTGATCTGTCTTTGTAGAGATTAGAGATTCAACTTATCTAACGGCCAGATAGCTGATTTGTACCATAGAGACGCTAAAATTAATTTGTTAATTACAAGCGTCCTTCCAATTAATGATATGTGTTTATTTTTCCATTTTTCAATCTTTGCCAAAGAATGTTTAGAAATTCAGTCATTGTTTATTCCAGGTTTTTCTTCTGCAGATAGGGTGATCCCAAGGACCTTGATTGGCGAGGACGATGAAATCCAATGAACTCTAGGCTCCTCAGGTGGTCTCACCCCTTGGTGATGAATCCACCATCCTTGGGTTTTGGTCCCCCAATTAATTTTCATATCTGAGAGGGAACAAAATTTATCCATCATTCTCTTAATGACCCTCATGTTGTCCTCTGAGGCATCTACTAATAGTGAGAGGTCATCCGCAAACAGTGAGCACACAAGAATGACCTCTTCTGGGATGGATGCAATCCTAATACGTTTAATATCCTTGTTCTGTCTTAGGTTAGCCGCAAGGGCTTCCATCATAATGACAAAGAGGAAAGGATCTATCTGATCCCCTTGTCTTACTGATCATTCCAACATAATTAGAAGAGTTAAATTACCGTTTATCATAACTCTTGTTGTTGGCTCTAAGTGAAGGATTTGTACCCGTCTTCTGAAGGACGGCCCAAAATTAAATTTCTCCATACACATGTCTAAAAAGACCTAATCAATATGGTCATATGCCTTTTCGAAATCTATGAATATAAGGGCTGCATTTTGTTTCGATTGTCTGAAATTTTTAATCAATTCATTAACCAGCAGGATATTGTCTTCAATATTCCTACCTGATATGAAGCCTGTTTGAGTGGGGTGAATGATGTCTGCTATAACTTTCATCAATCTGTTAGATAAGACTTTTGTTAGCAACTTGTAAACGACTGTGAGGAGGGTGATGGGTCTGTAATTGCGAATATTCGTTGAATCTTTTTTTTAATGCAGTAGTGTTAACACTCCCTGTCCCACTATCTTTCTCATCCTTCCAGAGGACCATACCTCTTGGTAGAAGTCCATCAGATCCTGAGAAATAAAATCCCACATGACTTCCTAGAATTCCTTGGGCAGTCCATCTATGCCTGGTGTTTTCTCTTCTTCCATCATCAACAAGGCTGTCCATATTTCTTCTTTAGTTATTGGTTGTTTTAGATTATCTTTTTGAAGATCAGTAAGTGTTTTGTCTATTGGAAGAAAGAAATCTTGAATTTCTCTCCTTCTCTGAAGAGAAGGGAGGCGATTGCATTCTGAAGCAAAAAGTTTTTCGTAGAATTCTCTTGCTATCCAGGTGCAGGCTGCTGCTGAGGTTTGTAGGGGCTGTTGATCCTGCTGTGGATCCGCGAGCGCCTCAATGATTGATCTTCCTTTTCGTGTTCTTGCTTTAGCAAAGAATCTCGCATTCATGGTTCCTTCTGTATTATGTTTAGCTAATTTTCCTCTAATCCTGATCCCTTGCCATTTGTTTTCCATATGACCAAGTAGTTGATTTTCTACTTCATTTATTTTTTCTCTAAGCGATGGTGACTGAGGATTATCCTCTAATTCTTTCATTTCCTCATCTTGTTGCTGTAGCTGTAGCTGTAGAAGTTGTGTTTGCAGATTAATCTCTTCAGAATGTCTTTGTGCCGCTAGCATTTTGGAATATTCGTTGCATTTACGGCCTAGAAACCATGGCATGAACGCTATGCCAGACAATTCTCCAACGATGAAGGAAACAACAACAAGCGGCAAACAAAAAAAAAACACAAAGTTCCAAAAGCGAAAACACCGAAAAATATAAAAATTGAATGTGATAGATTATTTCGTCGGAATTGCACCGACTCATCAGGAGACTGAACCCTCGACAATCTGCGAAATCTCCGTATTTAATGGTTTGGGTCATGAACCCTTGTTGAAGGCAGACCGTCCCCAAGCGGAACATAGCAGCCGGCAGCAACTCAGCGAAGCACCAGGCAACGTTGTTGGAGCAACCCAACTGCACAATGCCAATGACCAACTGCATGGACAACACGGCAAAAAAATAAGGAAAAAAAAAAAAAAAAAAAAAACACGGCAAGCAGACGAGTAGCACGACAGCAGTGCGGAGAGGCACAGGGCAACACCAACGATGCAACGACACTACACGAGTCACTAACAAAGAGCGTGGAAGGCAAGCATACGGGGAGGGGCAACAAGGCAGCAGCGCATCGAAGCACAAGGCAAAACCAACATCACGACCACGTTACACAGATAACAGAGCAGGTGGAAAGAACGACATGCAAAGCAAGCGGGACAGCTATCAAGGAAGAGGCAGAGCCCAGACAAGGCAATCTACAAATCCAACACGGATCAAAGCGGCACATCGCCTACTAGTCACATCACGAGTGTGCCCTGCAGACTGTTGGTTCCCACCACCCGCTGAGCCAGATAGTCACCCCGACGGACGTCTGTCATCACTCATAGACCATATGCACCACACAGACATCATGAACAGATCGCCCCCCCTAAGAGTCATGCAGGCACTCCAAACAACGGACCACCGACTGTTTAGCACTGCTTGAGGGTGCTCACTTCACCACAGAAAAGTACCTAGCAAAAAACATGGAAGACACAGACAAAAAACATGAAAAAAACATACATACGACTGGCAGTGCTTGTGTGTCGTGTGCGTGCGTGTTTGTTTTTTACGTACCATCAATTTTTCTGCAGCCATGCCGCGGCACGTTGTGTGTTGCAAAGTATGCTTATAAGCAACACTAAAAAACGTGTCCCCGCAGCCAGGTATGCCCATCAAATGAACGCATGACATTGTATAGTCTTGCAAAAGCCACAAAAGCAACGAAACAGAAAACAAAAAACAACAAGGCAAATAACAGCAAGCCGGCTCTGGCATCTCTGACGTTTACCTCCCCAATTGGCCATCTGATGGCTTGGCAGGCGCTGTGTGACGCCTAAACCATAGCCAGTTTTACGAATCTGCAAAAGAGCACCCTCAACACGGACAAAAGTCATCCATCACGTCCTCACACCACAAGCAAAACCCCACAGAGTGTTGGTTCCCACCACCTGCTGAGTTAGGAAGTCACTCTGACGGACATCATATGCATCACAGACATCACGAACAGAGCCGCCCCACTAAGCAGGCACCTTTTTTTTTTTTTTTTTTTTTTTTTTGACCCCCCTGGCACTTCAGACAACCATCCACCGACTATTTGGCACTGCTTGGAGGTTTCCCAGCCAAATTTCTCCAATGTGGAAGGCCATGCACTGCATCCTTTGGGGAAGTACCAGCCTCCCAAACGGAGCGCTTTGCCTAGATGTATTTTCCGCCCCACGGCAGGCTGTACTGTTACATGCATAGATATGCCATGTACGTAATAACCGAGGATCTGCAATGTGATGAAAAGGACAGAATGGACAATGCAGTGCGAGTAGAATCTCGACAGACAATGTGCATTTTCATACATACAAAAGGTGTTGAATAGTGCAGGGAAGACTTTGATACAAGGACTGACCTGACAGGGACTGACCTCACTCACGTAGTAACAAGTAGCAAAGCAGAATGCTAGAATACTGATAACGAGCCCAATCAATGTTTGAACCCAGACCAAACATGCATCATACCCATCACCGAGTGTGAGGGAGCCTGGCGCTGTACACAGGAAGAAGCGTCAGGTTCAGACATACACAGACGAAGAGGTAGGGAACAAACGAAAGGAGGGAGAGTGATGGGAATGTCGTTAACACCAAGTCGCGGTTGGCCTTGTACTTGGCGCGGTGGAGCGTCTCCAACACTCGTCGAAGATGCCCAAGATGATTCTCCAATGACCGGCTATAGACGAGAATATCGTCTAAGTAGACCAGCACAAACCGGTCCAACATTGCACGGAATTCATTGGTCATTGCCGCCTGAAAGGTCGCCGGGGCGTTGGTGAGGCCAAAAGGCATGACCACCCACTCGAAATGTCCGTACCGCGTCTTGAACGCGGTCTTGTAGCGGTCGTTCGGCTGGATCGAGATTTGATGATATCCTGATTTCAAATCCAACTTGGAAAAATATTTTGCGCCGCCCAATCGCTCAAGAAGATCGTCGATGCGAGGAAGAGGCCCCGCATTCTTGACGGTTTGTGCGTTGAGCTTGCGGTAGTCGATACATAGTCGTAGATCCTTGTTCTTCTTCCTGACGAAGAGAACTGGTGCTCCATATGGGGAGCTGCTAGGGCGGATCCAACCCTTGGTCAACAAATCGTCGAGTTGTGCGCGGAGGACCTCAAGTTCCTCCTCGCTCATCCGATAAATGCAACCTCTCGGCGGCACGGCACCGGCCTCAAGAATGATCTCGTGAGAGATCGGCCGATCTGGCACCACACCGGTAGGTGACTCGAAGATATCGGCGAACTCGTCCAGCAACCGTACCACACGGGGGTCCGAAGACAAGTCCGTGGGTGAAGAGTCGGCTACCGCGACGGTCCGTAGAAAACATAGGTCAATCTCCTCGGGCTGCTCGTAAGCGCAAGTCGCCCGGAATGATTTGGCCGTCACCACTTGGCACCGGATCGAAGGGTGCGGTAGAGGAATAGTACACGCCACTTCCGCGCCGAAGGCGTCGCGAACGCTAAGAGTCCGCCGGTGGAAGTTGATCGTGTGATCCGCACTTGCAAGCCAAGGCATTCCCAAAATGATGTCGAAGTCCGTATCAAGAATATCGAATGTTACCGGTTCGCATGCATAAGGTGCGAAGTAGACCGGTACGACCTCGATGTAACGGTCGAGAAGTTGTTGCGTCTCTCCATCCGCCAACTTGATCGTCGTCGGGTTTGCCTTCCTTTGAACTTGTGCGCCAAGGCCAGCCATTTGCATAAAGGACTGGCTCATGAAGTTGCGAGACACGCCGCTATCCAGCAAAGTGCTGCAGGACGCTTGCCCAACCTGAATGCGGACATACATGAGCGGTGCGTTGTTGTCATCGTACCGCTGCGTGCGAAACTCGYGGGCCACCTTGGTAGTATAYGCMAGGATGTCCCCCACCGCGACTTCGTCATCCGTCGRCGAAGTTGGTGGTGCATAGAAGGATAAGTAAGTGTGRAGATKRGCGCWRAGTGCTGCGCATTGCGGTCCCGRCAAGCGGCCTGTGGTCGGGAGAGGAAGCCATGCAAAGTCCTCAGACGTGAGCGGGTTCAATGCCTCTATGTTGAACTCGCGTGCCGAATCCCGTGAAGAACCACTTGAAGACGATATGTTGCCGTTGCCGGACGGAGAAGAAACCGCACACACTCCTTGTCCTTGAGCTTGAGTACCCACCGTAGGAACGAGTCGGGCAGCATAGTCCTCAAAAGAAAGTAGAAGAGGGGGACTATCGACTTCCGCGTGCGCCTCGGAATGAAGGCCGGTTACTCGCGAAGAAACCGGTTTCGAAGGCGTCGAGAGTGTCGTCGAGTCACTCTCGGCGGTGCTCAATTTCCCTGTCTGCCCTTGCCTTTCAATGGGCAACCCTGCGTCTGATGAAGATCGCTGTTGCACCAAAGGCAGTAGTGGAATCTCTCCCGCGCCTTGAAGGCTTGCTCGGAGATGCCATACTGGGTCCATGGGCCTGTCTGAGCTACTGCACCAGGCCCGGGGCTAGATGCGGTGTGTGTCTTCGTCTTGCTGCGTCCTCGGCCTCTGCCGGGGCAGCCACCTTCCCGGGCGGCTGTGAACTGGCAGACACAGCCTCGCTGGTTTGGTCCAACGGCGCTGACGCTGTGACCACGGCCACTCTTGGCCGATGCTGGTCCCTGATCGGGCCTGACGCCGATGAACGGAGGTTCTTGGCCTCCTTGTTCGTGATAATGATCTGCGCAGCCTTGTCGAACAACTCTGCCGTCGTCGTCAAGGTGTCCTCGACATGAGTCAGGGCATTGCTTAATGCCGGACATGACCTTGAGATGAAGTAGTGGCGGATGGCCTTGAAGCCCATCTGRATGTCTGGGACTGACGTCAAGCGTTGGTACTCGACGATCCTGTCCGTACTCGGCAGCGTGCCTTGCTCGAAGACCATGAGCTTGTCCATGGCTTTGATCTCCGGAGGCTCCACCTGGAACCGCTTGTGCCACGCTGCCTTCAGATCATCCCAACTGATCTTGGTGTGCAAGTCGTTGGCTACCACTCCGTACTTGGACAACAGGTTGTCCAACCAAGCCTGACACGCGCCCCCTGAGCGAGAGTACAAGTATGCGTGGTGCTTGAGTTCCTTGATGTTGTGGAGCTGCAGCGTGAGCTTGAACTTGCAAAACCATGGAATCGGATTTGTCTTCATTGAGTCGCAGAAGATCTCCTGCCCATCGAACTTTGGAGTTGTCTCGCGCAGTTCTGAACTCGAGGTGGTGGCGGTAGTGCAGATCCGTTGTTGCAACTGTTGCGTCGCGGTCTGCTGTAATTGCATGCCATCCTTGAGTGAGCCGACGTCCATCTCCAATGCATTGAGTCGGTCGGCAGCGTTGGAAGAGCTTGCGTTGGCGGCGGCAACTGGTTGCTGCTCCAACCGCTGAAGGCGGTCTTGGACGTGAGCTAGCGAGGTGTCGAGACCGAGGATCGCCGCCTGCTGTGTAATGCAGGTTGCGAGAAGATTTGTGAGGTGCGAGAGGAGGAGCGCGATCTTGTTTGCGCTAACCTCCAACTTGCCATCCTCCGCTTCGGTTCGCCATTCCGCTGCCATTGTCAGTAACGCCCGCTCTCCGGTAAATATCTTCTCTCGACACTGGTTCCTTTCTTCATCGGCAGCCCTTGCTGCTGCCTCGTCATGCTGGCGGTGTTGTTCAAGTGCCAGCAAACGTGCCTGCTCGACATCCTCGGCCTTCTTCTTCGCTGCTGCTCCAGCGCCATCTGCCCGTTTCTTTGTCTCGGTACTCCAGGCCAGCATGCGGGCCTGATAGGCCTCGTCTGCTTCCCCGAGCGTCTGGTCCATGACTGCTGTTTGAGATCGCAACAGCATAGACCGGGCGGGGGCCTGTTGATGTGGTATCCGTTGCTGCTGACGTGGCACTGCTCTCACCAATGCCGCCGCAGGGGGTACCCAGATACCAACAGAAACGGAAAGGCGAGAGATGACAACAACATAGGTGGGGAGGGGTGGGTGGGATAATCGCCCGACCAATCACTTAGATAAGGAGCCACTAATCAAACAAGAAAAGTTTGAATTTTGCAAACAAAATCGAGAAAAATAATTTAAAAAATCCCGATTTTTGCAAGTTCGGTAGGTCTCCCAACCTTCCTTCAAGTGCGAAATGATCACTGAAAGAAAAATTTCGACTTTAGACTGCCAATGATTTATAGAACTGAACGACAGAATCCCAGAACTACGAAAAAAATTCCGAACCGAAATGACAAAAATTTGAATTTATTCCGATGAGAATATTCGCAGTTTGGAAAATAATACTGCAGGAGGTATTTCCCGTACCGTTTTCAGAAAACGAATTTCAGAAAAGAAAATATTCTGAATTTCTAAGTAACGGGAAATGCAACAGGAAATCAAAATTTTTGAAAAGAACAATATTCCGGATTCTCAACAGCGAAATTTCAAATTTTCAGAAGAAAAACGAAAATGGAATTTCAGATGTTGCGATTTTGCGATTTTCCACAACAGAATAGCGAGAAAATAAAATCCAAGAAAAGAAAAAAAATTCGATTTTTGGTAGTGAGGTCAAGATCGTGATTTTGGGGTCTAACTAGTATGTCCTAATCAACCAATAAAGACTAAGTAGCTTTTTGGTCCCCGCACACGTGTCAGATCAGGGTGTCCTGATTCACGTGCAGAAGCTCCGATACCAACTGTTACATGCACAGATATGCCATGTACGTAATAACCGAGGATCTGCAATGTGATGAAAAAGACAGAATGGACAATGCAGTGCGAGTAGAATCTCGACAGACAATGTGCATTCTCATACATACAAAAGGTGTTGAATAGCGCAGGGAAGACTTTGATACAAGGACAGACCTGACAGGGACTGACCTCACTCACGTAGTAACAAGTAGCAAAGCAGAATGCTAGAATACTGATAACGAGCCCAATCAATGTTTGAACCCAGACCAAACATGCATCATACCCATCACCGAGTGTGAGGGAGCCTGGCGCTGTACACAGGAAGAAGCGCCAGGTTCAGACATACACAGACGAAGAGGTAGGGAACAAACGAAAGGAGGGAGAGTGATGGGAATGTCGTTAACACCAAGTCTTGGTCACCAATCCCAAATAATCCCTCGTGGCCTTGCCTGAAGTCCCCAAAAGTCGAGTCTGGATCCAATGTCATCAAGCTCTGTCTCTCGTCTCTCGCAGTCTGCAGAGGCAGTGAAGTCAGATGTTGAGAGGGAGAGAAGAAGATGGTGGACTGAGAAGAGGAAGAAGAAGACTCTCTCTCTCACTGTTACGAACCAGATACTAACCTGTGATGTGGGCGCTGTGCTGCAGGTACCTCGAAGACGATGCTGGAGCAACGGCGCTGCAGGTAAGTACTCCTGGCCTTCGCCCAAACTCTCTCTCTCTCTCTCTCTCTAACACTATCCTAGCTATGGCGCCCAGCGCTGGAGACTACAGCTACCTACTGCGCCCAGCGCTGAAGACTACAAGCTAACGCTACCACTACTACAACGCAGCGCTCCCTCCAGAGTGCTGCTCCCGAATCCTGAAGACTACTGCCTCCTGAATGAATCGCGAAGTGCCTGGGGGGGTACCTATATACTTCCACGGCCTGCCTCCTAAGGGCCAGCCCGGCTGAGGAGGCTGCTCTTGCCAATCCACGGCCTGCCCCCTGACTGCCTGAAGGGCCAGCCAGGCCGAGGAGGCTGCTCTTGCCAATCCACGGCCTGCCTCCTGACTGCCTGAAGGGCCAGCCAGGCC